GTTTTACAGTCTACCAATTCTCCTGTAAAGGTGTAAAATCAGGCAATGTATAAAGAACATCCTCTTCAGTAAATGGTGCTGGGAAAATTGAGTATATGTAAAATATTTAAACTTTTTCCTTTTTTTCCAAATATACATTAAAAAACAAATCAAAATGGATGAAAGGCTTAAATATAAAATCTGGGAGTACAAAATTATCACATGAAAACAGAGGCAAAACATTTCAGGACAACAATATAGGTAACATTTTGGATATAAACTTAAAGGCTCAGGAAACCAAATTGAAACCCAATAGAACAATGAGTTTATATCAAACTGAGATCCTCCTGTACAAGAAAGAAATGACCAAATGAGGAGACGGTGTACACAATGGGAAGGACTGAACTAAACTATTCAGATGACAATGCACTGAAATCTAGAATACACAAGAAACTCAAAAATACTCAATAGCAAAATAGTCTAATTTAAAATGGAAATACCATGAGGTATTTTTCAAAAGAAATCCACATGACCTAACATTTATGAAAAAAAATCATCAAAACCATTATTCATTCAGAAAAATCAATTCACAACCACAATGAGCTATGATCTTCTATTAGAGTAACTATTATCAAAAGGAATAAACATATCCTGGATACAAAAGAAATAACATATCCTGGTTACAAAAAATATGGAGATTAGGGAACTTATATGCTACTGATTAGAAAGTAAATTAGAACAGCCATTTTGAAAAATGGTGAAGTTCCTCAAAAATTAGAAATAAAAATACAGTCTAATCCTGAAATCCCATTGCTAGGTATCTATCCAAGAGAAACAAAATCAGTACATTGAAGCGACATCTGAATTTCCATGTTTATTGCAGCACTGCTGACAACAATTGAGAACTAGAAATTATCTAAGTGTCCATGAACAGATGTGTGGATTAAGATAATGCAATGAGTTTGTACAACAACATACTCTTCAGCCATAAAAATAATGAAATTATGTATTTTTTGACAACATGGGTAGAACTGGAGATCATTATATTAAATGAAATAAACCAAGCTCTGTAATTAACATAACACAAAATCTCACTCATCTATTGATTTTTTAATGTAGAATTCTATTATGCTTTTATAACAAATGAATCCATCGATATTTTATGTATTTAAGCTGTTATTCAATATAAACTCAATTCTATCAGCCCTTTTTCAGACAGAAAATATTTCAATGAGGTTTTTAATTTTATGCAACTTCTATTATTTCATAAATAATTTTAAAGCAAATTAAAATTTATGAAACAATTAGAAATAAATAAATTATAAATTATAAGTTTCTAACTTCCTAAGGAAAATCCTAATTCCTATATTAGGGTTGGTTAGACAGATTGGGAATCTATAAACCAAGGAAAATTTATACATGAAATTAAGTGTAGATGTCTTCATATAAGGACACCCAAAGTAAATTCATGCCTTTTTCTTTAGTCTGTTCATGAAGTGAGTTGTCAAAATTGTGCTGTAATCCAATGACAGACAGGTAATTTTCTATAACTCAGATGGTAAGAACATATTCTCTGCCATTTTTGGTTGAATAGACTTGGTGTTACAAGTTTCCAAATCCACATAATAGGGAAATTGAACAGATGATCTTTAACGATTCTGATATATTACAAAGTAGGTAAAGGATGTTATGTAACAATAAAATATGTTTTTGTGAGCACATAGTACATATTCGTGTATTTCTTTTAAAAAGGTATAATCATGTTGATACTTTATTATGTTACAATAGCGATGTTTCTGACAAACAGCAAACTCAAGATCTTTAAATTTATCTTGTAATTTTGAGATCAGTCAGAATTGTGTATCTGGGAAATACGTTACATTTCACAGCTTTTTAATTTATCGGCTAGAAAAAGGATCCTACGTCTTAAGTTTTAAATGCTAGGAAATTTAAATTACACCGTAAAACATTCCATCACTTCAGTGGCTACCTCAATCGTTTTTGAAAACTATCTGCGTCCGCAGCGAAGGAACTTTATTATCTTTCAATTACAAGGTGGAGGGCCGTGAGTTACCACCCGGGACAGAGCTTGGTGAACGAGCGCCCGCAGCGCCTTAGCGTTTCGCTCTCACGCTTAAGCATGAGTCGCCTCTGCTTAGCTCCCCGTTTGCAGGAGCCTGAAATGAATGTAGGCTTAAAACGGTGCCATAAATTAATTACAGTGGAATTAGAAGGAAAGTGGGCAATTTAGGAACCTAAGAATTGCTGTACTGAATCAGATCAATGGCTCTCTCGGTTTCATACCCAGCCTCCAGTAGCTGTACTTGTTAGTTTTCCCAGTTTTCAAAGAAAAGAAAGAGCCTACGTAACTCTCTTGAACAAGGGTGCCATCTGTGATCTGGAAAAATTTTCTTCTTGACCTCTCTCAAATTGCACCCTATAGCAGGAGCTTTCTCTGCTATCATGATGTTAATGTAGCTTGAAGAGTTCCGCTTATTAATAATCCTTACTAAGCCACTCAATTCCTACATAAAATCAACTAGTCCATCAGGAAACTATTTATCCTAAAGCGCCTGAATTCATGGCTAAGGGTGCCTGTTTCTAGAAGAAAATATGGATTTATGGAGCTTAGTTGAAATAAGTTCTTGCTGGTAAAATTGCTTCCACACAACCACACTGGGTACCTTTCTGCTCTTGTTTCCAAAGTCAACTGAGTTGAGAGGCTTTTTTTCCAACCCTTTATCTCCTCCAAAATTTCTTATAACCAAATGTATATTTACAAGTAGATAATTTCTATTTATTAATAATCTGCAGGTGGTATATGAATAATGAAAGATCTTGCACATCGAACTTCTAGAAAGTTCACTTGGGATTTTTAAAGTGGAATGAAACTGAGAAAAGGAACAGATTACTCATCTCTATCCCTTTAGTCTTAATGGCAGAACTACCTGCAACTACACTATACGTTGTTTAATTTATTCTGAATACTACTTCAGCTCAATATGTCTAAAATATTGTATTCATAAAGAACAATGAATAGCAAATTCATTGAAGCTAAATTTCTAGCCATCTTTTCTGGTTTCTCAGACCAGATATATAATCATACTTACATCCTAAACTTTTAACTCTTATAATACTTGCTTCTGGTAAAAGCCAAAGTGCTAGGTTTGTAATCATTTAAGATAAGAAGCAAAAGTGGATTGTGGTAGGTTTTGGCCGTAGTATGGAATTGTTGAAATCATTATGGTGGTCATCTAATATGGCTGAAGCCCTTAAAACAAAAGCCCATCTTCCCAAGACCACCTCTCCCTTTTTCTCCAACTCAGCCAAGGTACAACTTCCTTACACCCTTCCCACCGCTTCAGCTGACCCCAATCAGCTCCCTCACGTATATCCAATCATCCCCTTCAAACTCCACCTTGGCAAAAGGCCTTAAAAGCTTCAGCCTCCCTTGGTTCCAGTCAAGAGAATTTCTCATCTTCTCCTCATTCTCTCTGTGTCCTCAAAAATAATAAAGCTTGTTTTCCTCTTCCTTCTGCCTGTTACTCTGCTGCACTGGGCACCTGAAAAAAAAATCTGTCATATCGTTCAATTTTTTATTTGCTTGTTTGCTTGCTTGTTTTCTGAGATAGAGTCTCTCTGTGTACTCTAAGTCAGCCTTGACCTCACTGTGCTGAGTGTCTGGCCTCTGGCACTCCAGGTAGTCCTGCCTGTGCCTTCCGAGTGCCGGGACTACAAGCATGACCCACTCTGTCCTGCCTTCCTCATTCAGTTCTGTGTTAATTCTCTGCCCTTTACCAAGCCTTCTTCAGTTGCCTCTGTGGATCAGCTTCTGTCTCCTCTTCTTACTCCACCAGAATCCGATTTCTCTAAGTAATCTCATTTTAAGTATGTAGCGACAGCTACTTCTGAAAAATTGTGCCCTTTTGTTTAGGCTTGATTTAGAGTATCTTATATCTTGCATGGTTGGTTCTTTGTTTCCATAGATATTTTCCCTTATAAGTTCTGTCTCCCATATTTATAGCCTAGATTAGTATCAAACTCATAGTAATAGCATAAAGATATATTAATGAGTAATCTACAAATTTGCTGATGATTAACTACTTACAACCCCTTGAAAAACACTTGGGGTTTCCCTTTATGTGACCTTAATGATATCTGTGAAAGCTACACAAATATATTATTGAGCATAAAAATATAAATATATAAAAATAGACTAAATTTTTTTTTACTAAATCACAAGTATAAATATGGAAAGTATCAGTAAAAAAAATATAAATACCCTTCTGAACAAGTTCAGATGTATGAGATTGTGAAATAAAGGAATTCCAAGCATGAATAATAATAGAAATAGAGACAAGGAAGTGAAAGAGAGGTGGAATTCTACAGAATATTTCCTGTTACTGGGTGCTTTAGAAAGAGAACACTTGAAAATAAATTCATTAAGGTGGCTTACATTATCTCACTTAACTTAATCTGAATTACGGTGAAAATTACTATAGAATTTTTAATTCAGGTTATCAGAAAATTTATCAAGGTGGAATAGCAATAATGAGTTCATTACATGAGAAAATCTATAGTCAGTCCCAATCTTAAGAAGGATTGGTATGAAATAGAGCTCTGTCTTGCTGACTAGATAGTTCAAATATTTATTGTGAAAAGGTTGGGTCAGTAAAAAAGAAGAGTGTGGGACCAGATAACAAGATTACTGCCTGTTTCAGTATACTTGGTTGCAATCATAAAAGATTTTACAGAAATTTAAAGAATATTTTATCACCTCATGTTCCAGAGAAAGCATGCAATAATTTTGTCTTTAAATCTTAATTCCTACAATTTTGATTTTACTAACAGGATTCCTCAAGGTAATAAAATAATCAACATAATTCATTAATCTGACATCATCAAAATAGATCTGCATTTTTTTCTGATCGCTTCAAATTTCTTGCTGATAATTTTAGACAGCATTCTTTTTGGTAACAATGGTTTCAAATCACTGATAATCTTTCTATTTAATTATGTAGACACCCGAATGGCACCCAAGGAAACAGCGCACCATGGCCAGTCTTCAACAGCATTGAACAAAAGTACCTGACCTTGAACACGGAATCCCCAAAAGTACACTCTAAACTTCGTGCCCAACAGTGCCGATTTTGGACACTATTTTTTCCCAAAGTCTTGGAAATGACAGGTGCGTTGTGTGAGAGAGACAGAATATATGGCTTTTTAACATTTTCTTCAATCGCTTATGATGATATAAAAGAGGAAAGGTAAACTATTCAAAGAATTACTGCAATGACATTGTTAATGTACATATCTGTGACTTTAAAGTTACTTCATTCAATTGATTCGTTACTAAAGAGTACATTATTTTTATTTCAAAATAAAATTATTTTATTTTTTATACATGTCTTTAGTACCAACAAGATATTTACCTGCATTGCATACTAATAATGTTTCCATTCATTGTGTGGAGTTGGTGCCTCTATGGGATCCATTTCAAATTCCTTTTTTGATTCCCTTTCCCTCCTCTTCCTCCAATCCCTCCACATTTGGATCCCCTCCCACTTTAAAAAAATCTATCTCTTTACTTCTTGGAGGTCAAAAAATCTATATGGGATCTCACTTACTATTCAGCCAATCTTCATGGAGTTAATTAACATAAATGAATAAATGTGCAAAATAACATTTAGCATTATAAGCATTCAAAACTAGTAAAAGCAAACTTATTGAGAAATAGCAAAATTCTTGGGTTTGTAGGCAAAGAGGAGCTCCATAATCTATACACTTAAAGACACCCTATACATATATTTAAGTACTCTTGTTTGGAAACATTTAACTTAGAACATGCATTTATTTATGAAATACATATCACACATAAAATTTGGTTATATAGTCAGGATGGGACTGTTTAAAATTATATAAAGAAACAATGGGAAATTGGTTCAGATTATCATATAATTTCAATATTCATACTTAAGCATTCAAAACATGTATCAACATACTTGGCCGGCTTGACCATTTGAGAAAAGTGATGTATATATCAACCCACTGCCTACTTTAAAATGTCCATCTATTTATAACTCAAATTGTTCTTGAGGTGTATTTTCAACTTTTGTTTTTTGAATAAATATAATGGACTCACTCTTCAGTGAGTGGCCAGTTCTTCCAGTGCAGCCATTACAGTGTCCTGTGACGTACAGGCTACATAATAGATAACAAAACAAGTGCAGATTTTTAAGTTTTCTTGTTTACAGAATTGTGTATGAGTTCCAGACAAATATGACTTTCTTGGAGCTTCAGTGCATTGTTTAATAAGCCCTTTGATTATCAGAAATTGCTCAAGCAAAATTACGACTGTGCACCCCATCTGTCTGGGTGCCGCGTCCGGCCTCACAGTGCTCTATGTGCTCCAGTGTTCTGTGACATAATACTCGTCTAGAAAAGGTCTCTGCCTGGCCTGGCTGAGCAACACTGTGGTCCTTGTGTTGTCTGAGTGTGAATAACAATGAGGTAACTCATTTAATCTGCCAAGAAGCCCAGAGAGATGCGATTGAACATCCCAGACTGCTTATTCTTAATCTGTAGTTAGAATGTTTTTAAATAGGAGGATCCTTATTTGAAGGAAAATAAGCTAAGAAGAAGGAAAGTGATTAATGTTTAAAGACTCACAAATTTTTAACCGAATAGTTCTTCTGATTCTAGCACAAGTGATCCACCGCAGTTTATTGGTCACTAAATTAAATTTGCATGCCAGAAATTGTTGAACATAGGTCTCGGAAGTCTCTACCAGCAAAACTTATCTGCCACAAACAGATTGATCAAATAAACTCCAAAGATTTGAGCCAACTTCTGCTATTTCATATAATGCTCCACAACTTTTTAACTGAAAAAAATTGAATTCTATAGAAAAACCACAACTTCCTCTGCTCTGGGGCTGTGCTAAGGTCAGTTCCAATGTGTTTTGAAAACTTTTTGTTATTGGAAAATCATCTTTTTTTCAAAAGATGTTTGAAAAGTTTCAAACTCCCAGAAAGATTTCATAGTAAATAAAAACGGATTTATTTACTTCCAAAAGATTTTTATAGTAAATATATTTTACATATTTTTAAATAAATTCAATATTAGGTTATTGTAAATATGTATTCATTGACAAAATATTGTTAAAATATAAACAAATAGAAGCAGTATGACTTTGCCTGTTTTTATGTAAGATTGGATGGTTAAATAGATTAGGAACATATTCTGCTATACATTGTTATTACCATTTTATGTATTCAGTACAGAGCTTCACAGCACAGCTCAGACTCAAAGTGATCATCCTGTTTTCAGCCTCCGCAGTGCTGGGATTATGGGCGGGCGTCAGCATGCCTGGACTTGCTTTCCAGCTCACCACGTCCCGGGGGCGAGGCCGGCCTGGCACGGTGTGTGGGACCAGGGATCGAACCCCGGTCCCTGTGCTTGCCTAAGCAGACACTTAGTTCACTGAGCTATCTCACCAGCCCTTATACCTTATATTTTTCATATAACAAATTTTTAAAAATATTTTCATCTTGGGCTGGAGAGATGGCTCGGTGGTCTGGAGCACCTACTTAGAACAAGTTCAGCGAAGCACAGGGACCACGGTTCAATCCCCCAGCACCACATGCC